AAGCAAGAAGCACCACAGTGAAGATTGATGTAAAGCCGAGTGGACTTACCGGGCTAGCCTGAAGCACCGACAGCTGGCAAATCAACGCAATGCTAAGCCATGCTAAGACCAGGCTGGGGGCACTTGCTTTGCTGGCGGCTTTCCGCAGCCGGGAAGAGATGAAGCTTGCGCAGTAACGCATTTCTAGTTGCAGGACTGTACCAGCGAAGCTGTGATTAAGCGGGACGTATAGGACCTAGAGCGCAACACGCAACTCCTGGCTGGATTTTTCCGGGCTTGCTCGGTGGACTTTTGCGCTCGCGGGTCTTGATTAAAGTCAAACCATGAGCGCGGAAGATGCCGCGAAAAAGCGCCCGACCAAAACGTATTTGTCTTGCAGGATCCGCGGTCCGGGCGTCTTTGAAATCATTTTGCTTCTGAAGGAGGACGCTCCACTGACTTGTTCCACTTGACGCCTGGACCCGAAGAGGGCGATTTGGCCACTGCTACAGAGATGAGCTGAACGTGTGGTATCTGCTTTGCTGCGCCTGAATGGCACCGACTTGGATGCCTTGTACAGTCATGTGGCCAAATGCAGGTTTCCATGCTATACATGTATCCCCGAGGGTGTCGCTGAAGCAAGCCAAAGGAAGTGACTGCAGTGATGCTCTTTCCGTCTGCAAGTACGGCTGGCACCTCCGACTGACACATACAAGCATTGCTGCAGCGTTAGGCTTCAAGAGTAGCTAGTGTTGGTCACGCAGCCGCGCATTTGTTGTTGCTAGCAGGATGGGAAAGGATGCAAATGGCGGATGCTTGCTCAACGTACTGAACCTGGCAGCTTACCTTGCGCCGCAGCTCAACTTGTGCAAATGCAAGAAGCACCCAGTTTTAAGCAAGTATGGTTGAAATGCCAAGGTGAACTTGGGCATCACTTACGGCTCTTTGACCGGTGCTTTTGGGCCCACCAACAGCAACCTCAGTGCCAAGTACCATACCCTCCTCACGCCATCAGGCCCGGGCCTTTTCTTGCAAAAAGCACAATCCACAGGTTCTCGGGATTGCTTTTGCTGAGGCTTCGCCTTCTCGATTTGGGGACCCATCTTCATTTGGGAGGGGGTGTTCGCTGTGGCGCAGATGTTCCCATCATATCGCGCCAACCCAATCGTTACCACCATTACTCCCTGGTGGATCGGCGCATGCGTTTTCCAGTGCGCATGGACTCTCTTCTTCGCGCAGGAGGTCATGATTGGGGCAATGGCTTGCATGTTGGGCATCTTCATTTGCCTCATGGTAGGCATTTTGCGACACTAGGCGGCACTCTGGGACTAATAAATTTCGCCTATTCGTGCATAAGGAAACCTATTCCCACATAAATTTCGGTGCCCTTTAAACTACCATTCAGGCCTAGATTTCCTGGAAAAGATCTCCACCTGCGACTACTGGCTGCTCAGGGCGCCATTCTCGCTGCACTGCGGCTGGATTGTTGCGGCCACTTCCTTGAGCCTGGGCAGTCGTGGTTCTAGGATCCTATACTCCCCTCCCACCTTACTTGACCTCCACAAAATAGACCCCAAATTGGGCTTGAACAGCGCTTGTTTGGACCTTATTTGGGGCGTGGTATGGGACCCTATGATGTCTAGGAGCTTAACTGAGTGAAGCTTATAAGGGAAGCCCGTCATTTCCTACATGTTGCCTCCATAGTGTAAGATTAAGGATAATTAATACGAAGCCCAGGAACATTGGTGTGGTGGCCGACTTTTACAAAGCTGGCCCTGACGTGATGTTGGCGCTGGCCATGGTTTGTTTTGCGGGCATCGCGGCAGTCGTCACTGTGTTTACCTTCGCCAGCCCGACTTTTTGCGGCGTTGTTCAGCAAACTCTTCTTTTTTCGGCTTGTTTTTTTGGGGGGAAATTGTCTAAAGAAAAGTTTGGGAATCAAGCTGATCACTTGAAATTTCTGCCCCAGCAATGGCGCAGGAAGGCAGATCCTATCATAGCACTTGTGGCCTGCTGGGCATTGCTTGGCATGGTCGCAGAGTTGGCGGATGCAGAGAAGCTGAAGGTTCGCCAGTTGGCCGTCGTTCAAACCGTGAGTTTAGAGTCCGATGCCCCCTTTCTGAGATCTGACGTGTTCGTACCATAAGTTTGCCACTGAAGTGAACTTCACGCCAATAGGTCTTTAGACGTAATGGGAGTCAGCTGAAGCAGGACGAGGCCACGCGCTGGAACTTCTTCGCCTGGCCAGATTACGTGATCAACGCAGTGCGGATTTGCGCCTTTATCCTCAGCCTCCTCTGCATCGTGGCAGCCACGACCGCCACAGCTCGGAGGATCTGCTTTGCCCCAAAGCAGGAAGTGCCCAGTCTTGGTG